GGGGCTCGATCCCAGGACCCTGGGATCACGACCTGAGCTGAAGGCAGACGCTTAACGACTGAGCCACCCAGGCGCCCCTAAATTTCAATTTTTACTTCCAAAATTTTTATTTTATTTCAATTCAGCCATGTTACCTTTTCTTTTTTTTTCTTTTACAATTTCTTGGTTCATTTATTATTTTCAAGTTTTGAAAATATCTTTCATAATTGCAAAAATAGTTATATATTTTGTGTCTAGTAATTCTAATATCTGAAATTTTTGCCAAGCAGTTTCAGCTGTCAGATGTTTCTCCTGGTTTTTGCTTATGATATTTTGCTTCCTTGTATGCGTAGTGATTTTTGAGTAGGATATCTTATTTTCCTTTCCAAAAAATTTTTTTAGAATTCTTTGAAGTTCACTCTGAAGGTATATTCTTCTACATAGGCTTTGTGTGTATTTCTGCCCTCTGGGAGGTCAAAGCAATTTGAGTCTACTCTAAGCAAATTTGCTGTTGGAGGTTACTGGGCCACCCAGCTAAATGCTAATTTAGATTGTAAATCTGTATGTAGGCCAGTTTATGGTTATACTTTCTCAGAGATGTTTTCCCCTGTACTTTTCTGCTGAGTGCCAAGATATCTTTCTTAAAAGTTCCTGGGGGTGCGATCATGGGGTACTTTTTTATGTATGAAATACCTTTAACCTGAAAAAGTTGTGAAACAAGAATCTCAAATTCTCCCAAGTTTGGTAAATGCCCTCAGGGCAAAAGTAGTTTCATTGGTCAGTTTACTGGGTTTTTTTTCCTCTAGATTTTTGCCTGATAAATCCTATTGTGCTTTTCTTTGATGCTTTAAGATATTTTTACATTTTAAAAACAGTTTTAGTTTTTTTTTAAGCAATCATATCGTCAGGATACTTAATTAGCCACGTATTGGAATATTTCTTATTTTTCTATGCCATTATTTTGTATTGTATATATCTTGAATCACTGAATCAGAATTAACTAGAGATGTTTATTAAAATTTAAGAATCTGGTAGCCAATTTCAAGCTTACAGAAATAGCATCTCTAAGATGGGATCCTAGTACCTGAATTTTTGTGAGGTTCTTTAAGTGATCCTAATGCATGTTGAAGTTTGCTTTTATTCGTACTTTTAATCCTCATATCTGTTTATTTTAATTGTACGAGCCTGAGATCTAAATTTGTTTTCTCTACTTGTCCTAGCACCATATGTTGAACAATCCATTATTTTCACATTTATTTGATATGCCAACTTTTATCATATAGTAAATGTGTGCGTGTGTCTGTTTGTGTTTCTGGCCTTTCTATTATGGCTCATCCAGCTGCCCATTCTTTGAACGAGACCATACTGTTTTAATTATTGTAGTTTCATGATGTGTTTTACTATGTGATAATAATAAATCTTCTATGCTTTTTAGTATTTTCTCCTTAAAACATTTAAAACATTCCTACAGTTGCATCATTTTCTTGCTTTAACAGTGTTCAATGACTTTGCAGAATTAAATAGTTTTTCCAGTTTTTAAAAGAACTTTCTTTTTTTGGCCTTATTTCCTACTATACCTTTTTCATATGGACTTAAGAAGTCCTTAGACTGAGGTACTTAATGTTTATTTTACCTGGCTCTTTGCCCACAAAAATTTTGTGTTTTAATCTTCGTACTTGCCATGGCGATTTTTCCTCTAGAAATCTTTCTGCCCATCCTTCAAAATTGAAGTTAAGTTATTTACCTTCTTTCTCTATAGAGCTGTTATGAACACTCCCAGGCTCAAGGGAATTCCCTTTCTTAATTTTGACAGCAATTATTGACTATACCACTCATTTTTACTTGGTAAATCCTACTGAATCACAGACTGTAAAAGCTGGAAACTTCCTAAAGAGATTATATTGTCCATCTTTGTCATTTTACCAAAGAGAAAAAACTGAGTCCTAGGGCATGGGAATGACTTGTTTATGGTCTCCTAATGATTCAATTGTTGAGGTAAACTCAGAATATATTTCTTATATTTTAGAGCTCATTCTATTACCATTGTCTCCTACATCATTATTCCATTGTATTTAAATTTTATTTTTATTTATTTAGGCATAGATTTTTTTTTTAAACTAGATTGGAAGTTTCTTTAAGGCAGCACTCATGTCTACACGTTTTTTGGTATGACTCATAGCCCTAATATTGTGCTTTGTACTTATTGGGCACCTAATTAATATTAATGGCTGTTGGTAAAAAACAAGTTGCTCCATTAACCAAATGTCAAATTGGGGCTAGTTCCTTGTGGGCATCACTGTTATAACTGTATGGAAAGTGGCATCTAGTGGTCAGTGTGTGTATTACAATGCCTTTAAACACTCCCCTCCCCCCAGGACCAGTGTCATTATCATGTAGGTGGAATAAATAGAATATAAATTAAATTTTTAAATTGAATTCAAAAAAATATCAAATGTCTTAAGTAGCGACCTCTCTAAAGTATAGCTACATGTTAAGTAATAAAGAAGTACAAAAAGATGAAATTAATTAATTTTAAAGAAAAATACTGTATAAAATTACTTCCAAAATAACATGCACACATATTTAAAGTTATATTGCTTGTTTACAAATTATATTAGCATTTGGAGGATTTTGTTGGATACTGAGAAGCCAGAAATACAATAGTAAAGAAAATTCACATAGTATCTTCTCCATATTAACAAAATCCTCTCTGTCTTTGCATTATTCTCAGGAACTTAATTTATATTTTAAAAAGAAAAATTTCTTAGTGAAAGATGAAAATGGAAAGTTACACCATCTTTTACTTGTAACACCAGAAAATGATGCTCGTATGTTTACATTTAAAGTGTAGACATACATTCCAAAGTCAAATGTTAGTTTTAGATGTACAGCCATTTTGGATTACCATTATCCTTTACTCCTCCATTAATGCATGTAACTGATTATTGATAATCTGCACAATCTAATTCAGTGAATATGACCATTGGCAGTTTTTATCTTGTGATTCAGTAGCTTCTAAAATTTGTAAATTGGTACTTTGAAATCTAGAATTCATGTTTGCCCAAAACAATATTATGTATCTTAAATTAACCTCTGTTCCTGACACACTGTAATGTAATTTTTCCATATGGAATTATCCTTTCTATTAGAGAGCAATATGTACTGTCTTTGCATCTTCCATCTGCACCTAACATAACATAGTGGTTGGCACATAACAGGTGATCAGTAAGTATTTGTTGAGTTAGTTTTATATGTTGGAAGGAGCTGTGTCTTATTCGTCTGTAGTGCCTAACAAGTTTTCTGGCCTCTAATCATGCCCAATTCATGTTTGATGAGTAAGTCTGTGTAAGTCCATTTAACTTGTAGTTGATGTATAATACTAAAACCAGTGTATAACCTAATCCCATATGTATGACAAATAACAGCTGCATAACAGACTTTAGATTAGAGATGTCAGAAGCATTTTTTACTGGAACAACATCTTGCAATATGAGTAAGAGATTAACTTCCAACATCAAGCCATTGTTGTTTGCTTCCATCAGGAAAAGGAGTTTGAATATGTGGCTGACTTCTAGTTGCAGCTGAATGGGTTAGGAGTTATGATTAGAAGGATGAGGTCAGTAGTTTGATAAGGAATTGGGAAAGTATTCTGTTAGTAGTTGGAGCAAAGGAACACATGGAACGTTGGGAAGGAGGCTAAGGTACTTTTTAAGTCACAGTCTTCCGAGGCCGAGCATTGATACACATTACTTGGTATTTACATTACATAAAAATTTCTCTTATTTAATGAGAAGCATACTACCATATTGTATATGAGTTATCTACATGTGTTAAACTAATTACAGTTTGTTTTTCTAAGCAGTTCAGCTTTATGCCAGAGTATAGGGTAGATCTGGATGTCAGAAGTCATCTACTGTCTTTTTCTCTTATAGGTTCTTATTTTATTTTATTATTTTATTTCATTTTTTAAAGACTACTATTTTTTAAAGTAATCTCTGCACCCAATATGGGGCTCAAACTCACAACCCCAAGATCAAGAGTCACTCCACTGACTGAGCCAGCTAGGTGCCCCTCTTATGGGTTCTTATTTTAGAGGAGGATATTTTTCTGGCTTCAAGACCTCAATTCTTAATATGAGTTAATGAACTTATTAGTAGTGGCTCTTTAGAACATCTAGGCTGTGGGAACATTTGTGGTAAAACTGTTGGAATCATTATAGACTGAGCTACTAGTAATGAGAGAGTGGAAGCAAATTTTAAAAAGTTGGTAAAAGATAGCATTATGTGTTTTATGCTCCGTGATTGCCCACGAATGCCAAGATACAAGCAACTTCAACCAGCAGACATCTTTGGCTAGTTGCCAAGGTCATTGCTAATATAGATTGAAAGGTCATTTCTTGCATGTGATGTTAGTACAAAAAGGAGTTCCTAAGAGCTTGGACAAGTGGCAAATCATACTACAGGGAAGTTGTTTGAATTCTTTTAAGTTTTTAATATCTTTTTAAAAAGATATTTTTCACTTTAAAATTATAAAAGTTACATCTGCTCATTGTGAAAAAATCAAATGGAAGTGTGTACCATAAAAGGTGCAAGCTTCGCCAGAGGTAACCATTGTTCGCAATTTGGTATGTATTCTTTCAGATATTTTTTTGCTATTTGGGTAATAAGTTTGGATTGTTGAATTTAGTTGAGGGGTAAGTCAGAGACTGGTTTTCAGGTTCATATTTAATCACTTTCCTCCCTTTTTTTCTTCCTTACAGGCTTGCTATGGGTGTTCTCCAGGATCAAAATGTGACTGTAGTGGTGTAAAAGGAGAAAAGGTAAGATTTGAAATGAGCCTTTGAAAACTTAGTAAAATCAGTAAAATAATGTTTTAATGTTTTTTTTAAAAAAAAAATAGGGCTTCTACTGCACATCTAAGTAAATAAAATGAATTCTACCATACTTATTTTAGATTGCTGTAAGGATTAGACTATATCTCAGGGATTAGCAAACATTTTCTGTAAAAGACCATAGAGTAAATAATTTAGGCTTTGTGGGCCACATAAGGTTTGTGTCACACATTTTTCTCTCATTTTTAAAATAGCCCTTTAAGAGTGTAAAAAAATTTCTTAGCTCTTGGACTATACAAAACAGACTTATTACTGCATTTGGTCTGAGAGTTGTAGTCTGCCAACCTGTGATCAATCTGGTTGAACTCACTGACTTAAGAGGCAAAAGAGGGAAAGACACTTAAGAAGGAACCTAACATCAGGCTACTAATCTGTGTTGGGTATCATGCTAGGCAATTTCATATATTTTTATCTAGTCCGTGTAAGTTAATGATTGGTGAATCTCTATTTTTATCTCACTTTTCCCATAGCAGCACCCCTTTTGTATACATGTGATAATTACACAGTAAGTATTGGTGAGGATTAAATAGCATAAACCTAGCCCCTCTGAGTCAGTGACTGACAGTGAGATTAGAAGATTAAAAAAGGATAATGAATTGTGGCCTAAAGAGAATTATGCTAGGAGAAAGGGGATAACGAATTGTGGCCTAAAGAGAATTATGCTAGGAGAAAGGGGTTCATACTCTAGTCTCCACTGTATGGGGCTCAAATATTTTTTAATGAATCAGTGCATTTTACTAATTATATACGAAAAAGTTTAGAATAGTATCTCAGGAGCATATTCCATTTAGGGATATAGAAGGTCTACTAGCACATTAAAGATGTTTAAAAGTCCTGGAGTAAAGAAACCTGCTTGTTTTGCAATGCTGTATTTCCAAGCTCCATTTGACTCACTTCTTCCTAACAGAGCACCTGTTAATAATAATTGACTAGTGTTAACTAGAACACCTATTTAAGTGACATTAGTTTGAGGGGAGTAGTTTTATAGTAAGGGTGTGCTTTCTGTAGTGGTAAAAAGACCAAAAGAGATTCATTTCTGATATTGGTAGAGTGACTTTTTTTTAAAGATTTTATTTATGCATTTGAGAGAGAGAGTGTGCACGTGGGAGCATGAGCCAGAGGGGTGAGTGGAGGGGAGAGGGTTGTTGGGAGAGAGAGAGGGAGAAGCAGACAAAATTTATACCTACTTAATGGCATAGGAAAAGCAGGAAAAAAGTAGAGAGGATTCTACCCTTGGAAGAAAGGAAGTACACTGGGCAAGTTTGCATTTATGGGCTTTTATCCTGAGTGTGTCCTTCAGTCTGCATGGCAGAGGATGGCTATAACCCAGACAAAAAGCCACAGTCTTACTGGCTTAAGAAGTTAAGAGGACAGAGTTGAGGATGCCAGAATGACTGGAAAGTGATGGGAAATATGCTGCAATAGAGGGAGGCACAGAGAGCACAGCCCAAAAATTTGTTTGTAAATTCCACCCAAATTCTTGGTTGAACCCTGAACTTTGTATGTATAGGGGAAGATTCACACAACCCACCAAAAGGAACAGCTGGAAGTCTGCAATAATTGAACATAGATTTAACTGCTGTCCATTGAAGGGAAAACAAAGTTAAGTGTTAGTTCAGTTGAGTTAACTATTTCCGAAAACAAAAGTTCAGTACACTTCAGAAGAAGATAAAAAAATCTAGGATGACTATAATATACAATGTCTCATTTGCTCTTAAAACTTACTAGGCATAAGAAGTAACAGGTAAAAGAGATCCATAGTCAAGAAGAAGACTCATGAATGAAAACTAACTCTGAAATAACACAGATGTTAGAATTTGTAGACAAAGATTTAAAGCGATAAGATAAATATATGTGTTGATTTAAAGGGAAATGTGCTCTTATGAGTGAACAAATAGAGAATTACAACAGAGCCCTGGAAACTAAAAAAAAAAAAAAAAAAAAGGAAAATCTAGATTTAAAAGGCAAAGTATGAGAAAGAATAATTCACCCGTTAGGCTTTTAACAGCAGAATCGATGATGGAAGAAAGGGTCAGTGAATTTAAAGATGAATCAGAGGAAAGATACAATTTGAAGAAAAAAAGAAAACAAATGCATAGGGCCTCACTGACCTGTGGGACAATATCACATGGTTTAATGCAAATGTAAATGGAGTCCTATAACAACAGGGAGAGAAGTAAACAGGGGAGAAAAAAGAATAATAATTGAAGGGGCAGTAGTAATGACAAGAATTTCACACACTTTGTGAAAAATATAAATTTACAGATATAAGAAATTCAGCACACCACAAGCAGAATAAAAATAAAACTATACCTAGGCACATCATAATGAATCTACTGAAAAAAAAAACAGATTAAAAGAAAATCTTGAAAGAAGCTAGAGAAAAAATACACATTACATACAGGGACACAATGATATGAATGATGACAGACTTTTCATCCAAGAGGATGAATACTGTATAACAATGTAAAATCATTAGAGAGTTGAAAAATCTGCCAACACAATTGTTATATACAATGAAAATATACATAAAAATAAAGACAAACAAAAACCAGACTCTTAAATACAAAGAACAAATTGGGGGTTATTTTAATTCCATTTAGTTAACATATAGTGTTATATTAGTTCCTGTACAATATAGTGATTCAGCACTTCCATACATCACCCGGTGTTCATCATGACAGTTGTACTCCTTAATCCCCATCACGTATTTCACCCCATCCCCCCACATACCTCCCCTCTGGTAACCATCAGTTTGTTCTCTAAATTAAGAGTCTGTTTCTTGATTTGTCTCTCTTTCTCTCTCTCTTCCCTGTGTTCATTTGTCTTGTTTCTTAAATTCGACATATGAGTGAAATCATATGGTATTTGTCTTTCCCTGACTTATTTCACTTAGCATTATACTCTAGCTTCATCTGTATCATTGCAAATGGCAAGATTTCATTCTTTTTTATGGCTGAGTAATATTCCATTGTATATACCACCTCTACTTTATCCATTCATCAACCAGTGGACATGTGGATTGCTTCCGTATCTTGGCTATTTGTAAATTATGCTGCTGTAAACATAGGGGTACATGTATCCCTTTGAATTAGTATTTTTGTATTCCTTCAGTAAATACTCAGTAGTGTGATTGCTGGATTGTAGGGTAGTTCTATATTTAACTTTTTGAGGAACCTCCAGACTGTTTTCCAGAGTGGCTGCGCCAGCTTGCATTCCTGTTGTTTTGTGTGCTGTTGATTTTAACCATTCTGACAGTTGTGAGGTGATAGCTCGTAGTTTTGATTTGCAGTTCTCTGATGGTAAATAATGATGAACATCTTCTCATGTGTCTTTTGGACATCTGGATGTCTTTGGAGAAAGTCTGTTTGTCTTCTGCCCATTTTTAAAAAAATAAGAGCTAATTTTATTTATTTTATTTTTTTCATCTTCACAAGTGTCCTCTTTAATACCCATTTAATACCCATCACCAGCAACTCTCAGTTTGTTCTCTTAACTATACAGTCCCTTATGGTTTGCCTCCTTTTCTGTTTTTTTCTTATTTTATTTTTCCTTCCCTTTCCCTTTTCATCTGTTTTGTTTCTTAAATTCCACATATGAGTGAAATCATATATTTGTCTTTCTAGGACTTACTTCACTTAGCATAATACACTCTAGTTCCATCCATGTTGTTGAAATGGCAAGATTTCATTCCTTTTGATTGCTGAGTAATATTCCATTGTATATATGCCACATCTTTATCCATTCATCTGTGGATGGACATTTGCGCTCTTTCCATAATTTGGCTATTGTTGATAGTGCTGCTGTAGTGCAATTGTTGGGTCATAGGGTAGCTCTATGTTTAACTTTTTGAGGAACCTCCATACTGTCTTCCAGAGTGGCTGCACCAGTTTACATTCCCACCAACAGTGTAAGAGGGTTCCCCTTTCTCCTCATCCTCACCAACATCTGTTGTTTCCTCAGTTGTTACTTTTAGCTATTCTGACAGGTGTGAAGTGGTATCTCATTGTGGTTTTGATTTGTATTTCCCTGATGATGAGTGATGTTGAGCACTTTTTCATGTGTCTGTTGGCCATTTGGATGTCTTCTTTGGAGAAATGTCTGTTCATATCTTCTGCCCATTTCTTAGCTGGATTATTTATTTTTTGGGTGTTGATTTTGATGAGTTTTTTATAGATTCTAGATACCAGCCCTTTATCCAATATGTCATTTGCAAATATCTTCTCCTATCCATCAATTACCTTTTAGTTTTATTGAGTGTTTTCTTCAGTGTACAGAAGCTTTTTATCTTGATGAAATCCCAACAGTTCATTTTTGCTTTTGTTTCCCTTGCCTCTGGAGCTGTGTCTAGCAAGATGTTGCTGCAACTGAGGTCAAAGAGATTGCTGCCTGTTTTCTCCTCTAGGATTTTGATGGTTTCCTGTTTTACATTTAGGTTTTTCATCCATTTTTAATTTATTTTTGTGTGTGGTGTAAGAAAGTGGTCCAGTTTCATTCTTCTGCCTGTCACTGTCAGTTTTCTCAACACCATTTGTTCGAAAAGACTGTCCATTTCCAATTGGATATTCTTTCCTGCTTTGTCAAAGATTAATTGGCTGTATAGTTGTGGGTTTACTTCTGAGTTTTCTGTTCTGTTCTATTGATCTATGTGTCTGTTTTTGTGCCAGTTTCATACTGTTTTTGATTACTGCCACTTTGTAATATAACTTGAAGTCTGGAATTGTGATACCTCCAGGTTTGTTTTTCTTTTTCAAGATTACTTTGGCTATTTGGGATCTTGTGTGATAGAAGACTATTTAAAGCATAACAACAGAGCTTCAAAATACATGAAGCAAAAGTGACAGAATTAAAGGGAGAAATAGACAAATCCACAGTCATAGTTGATAGATCCTAACACACCTATCTTAGTCATTGACAGAACAACTAGA